ATGTGAAATCTGAACAGGATGCAAAGAAAACAAAAGACAACCTTTCACAGGAACGGCCTCTCAACATTTCCTCATCTCTGTGATAAAGCAATAAACACAGATATTTTGTACTCACTATATAATGCAAACCAGGAAGGAAATATTTTCTCTTGAGATGGAACAAAGACACTCTAAGGATGAACAAGAAGCAGTATCCTAATGAGGATTAGTTGAGAGGTGTAATTCAACAGCACAAGATTAGGAATGTTTGACGTGGTTTTATCTGAGTGTTAAAGGTGCAGTTCCCTTTTTCCATATCTTTAAAATAAAACTGCAGATATCATATTATTTGCATTGTAAGACTCCTCTAAGAAATCTTTGTGTCTGACACTTCATGGCAAGTTTTAGTCATCTTTGTGCTAGATTAGACATTCCTTATATGTGTTCTTTGAACATGCTATTAAAATATTCTGCCAAATAGCATGCATCAAAGTGAAGGAGTTATATAAATTGTGTTGGCATTGTTCTCATAGCATCATTACTTCTTACCATCTAAAGAGACCTAACTTTGATCTAATACAGGGGCTTACAAATGATAGGCAATTATATTATACTTTTGAAAAGCATTTTTTTTAATTTTATTTTTTGTGCTGGTCCTGCGGTTGAACTCAGGGCCTGGGTCCTGTCCCTGAACTTTTGTACAAAAGACTAACTTTCTACCACTTGAGCCACAGCTCAACTTCCCCATTTGTTGGTGGTTAATTGGATAAGAATCTCTGGGGTTTGTCTGCCTGGGCTGGCTTTAAACTGTAATCCTTAGATCCTCAGCCTCCTGAGTAGCTAGGATTATAGGCATGAGCCACCTGACTGAAAAGCAATTCTTAGTATCAGTGTGGGGAGAGATGATTAGATGGGCATATTTAATGTTTGCCATACTGAACTTTGTGGAAAGAGGTTGCTGAGGTTGAACCCATGGCCTTGCGCATGCTAAGTAGGCATATGCGGTATGCCTGAGCTCTATCTCTAACCTCTGTTATGTCAGAAATTTTAGACTTCCATGGGTCAATCTCCTAGAGAATTCTTCAGCAGGGGTCCCTTTTGATTTTTAAAGGAAGATTTTTTTTTTCTTAAAGGCCATTTGTGATTGATCTCTGAAGCTGAAAATGAAGGAGGGTTTGCTACACCTTTGACTTCCAGGCTCGAGTGTTCATGAACACAAAGGGCAAGGAATGGAAATAGGTATCAAGACTGGGTGAGAGAAGACAGAGAAGACAGAGAGACAGGGAACAGCTAGTTTCCCAGCACAGACACCAATAGACAGGTAGTGTTGACACTGTACCTAGAGAGGCTGCCCTCAGCGGCCAGGCCCTGGGAGTCATCGAGGACATTAGGTTCACTGCAGGAGGGGTAGGGAGATGAAGCATTTAGGGAAAGAAAATGCAAAAGGAAGAAAAAAGAAAAAGAGAAAAGGAAAAAGAAAAAAGGCATGCAATTTTCTGTTTCCAAGAACCAAAAACAAATAAGTTTAACAGAACAAGGAAGGAAAAGGAGACACGGTCAACCATTTCACCTTGTGCTGGGTTTGTCAAGACATAGGACTCAAGGCAATGGGGGAAGGCAGGACTTCAGATGGATACGACTCTCGGAGGACTGGTTTACTTATTGGTCAAGAGTTAAAATGAGCTCCAAATGGACACGTGAGCTCTGAAACGGACTTCAGAATGAGTCTGTCGAAGATGAAACTAGCATTTCCTTTGGTAAACTTTTGGTTATTCATTTTAACCTGTCTTTCATACATGTATTTTTTTTGTTTTTTGTTTTGACCAGGCAGGACCCTGCTTCTTTCTCATGTGTCCTGACATTTTCACACAGAAACCACTTACCATGAATTGCCATAACCAACTTCTTGGAACTGATGCCATAAGAAAAGCAAAGAAAGAACTCAATTTCCCTCACTAATTTTGCAATGAAAATGCAAATAAACAAATGGAAGGAAGGTATCCCAGAAAATTCACATGGAACCCTGTAGTGATTGAATTACAAATGCCAAAAGAAGAAACTTATTGGCTTAGTGAGAGAACAATTAGTTTATCGATTTATTTGCATATAGCTGAATTGAGATTTGTAAATGGAAATTGTCATACTTTGTCTGATTTTCCTCTGATGCCTATCATTGAACTAAATACCTACAAGGCTTCAATTAATAGTTATTCAATTGGGTAGAATTAAACTCTCTAGAAAACTGGTATACCTATTCCCAAAGGACTGAAGTTTAGCTAATTGTGTAGGTAGTCTCTGTTCTCAAGAACAGGCTTATTGTCTCAAATGGGCAGAGACAATGTTACCTTCACTAATATCCCCACATATGATTGAAATCTAAAAGGATTAGCCATATCTTTTCTGAATTGCTAGAATATCTCTGCACAAGATGGATGGTCTCCCTAGAAACAGGTTGACCCACTAGTACTTATGTAGAAATGGAATTGATAATCTGGGCTATTTTAGGTAAATAACCATGAACTCTCTATTTAAAATTCTCCATTTAAGTTAGAATAAGTTGCTAGTTTTATTTTTGGTACAGTCTTGTTCTTTGTTATCAATTACAGTAAGTTGTTAGCCACCAACACTAGTTGCTTATGTAACTTTGTAAAGATATTATTGACTATTTTTTGGTTTGTATAAAACTTTTTTTCAAAGAAAAAATACCAAATATGAAGTAAATAAACTCTAATGATGGTAACCTTTCTATGTTATTAACCTTTGTAATGATTAGCACTTACATAAACTATTGCCTTTAAACATACACAATTTACTTATTATCTTTTATCATTTGTCCCTATTCAATAGTTTTTTAAATTAAAAAATATCTTTGGGTAATTGTACAAAGTTACCATTTAACAAAGCAGTTTATGAATCTTGATCAATGTTACCTCTTTCAACCTGAGCCATTTGGTTAAAGGATTGAGTCTAAGACAGTTTTTCCTGCATATTAAACTGGCATTACGTGAACTTACTAGTGTGACATGACTTTTTTATTTTTTATGTGTGAACTGTACCACAGTGGTTATTAAAAATGGACAACAAATGTGTTAGAACAATTCTTTGAAAGATTTCACTCCCTACAGTAAATATATCATTGTTTTCTAAAAAAGATAATGTTTTAACTCATAATATTTTCTGTATTATAATTTTCTTGTATATACACATATATCTTGAATGAGTTTCACCTTCTATTTTATACAGTAGAGAATGCATACAATGTTTAAAAAGAAGTTGTGGAATGGAGAACTGTAGCGAAGTTCCCTTAAAAATCATTTAGCCAACATCCTCATTTCACACAGGAGAGATCGGTAGGCTATTTTTGAGTGACCTTCTCAAGGTCACACATATTAGCGTTGGTCCTTTTCTTCTTGGTTAAACGTTCCTATTCCAGCTGAATACTATAATATAGCAGAAGCCTATATCTTATCAAGATAGCAAGTCAAGCTGGCCCTACCTTTGTGCCAAATACTCTGTCTTTCGTTCATGATAAATGGTCACTTGGCTTTTATAAAGAAGATCATGTATTGATGTCTGGACAGTTTTTAAGGAGAGACAATGCTTGGATTAGAAGACAGGGTCCTTTCAACTAGCCTGGCTTACAAAATCACAAATTATTACCTGCAGGAAAACTAGTTGCAAAGTCCTTTGCTGAATAGGCTTCCTAAAACCATAACCATAGCTTGCTTCTCTAAGTGTTTGTAGAATAAGGTGAGCATATTTTTAGAATTTCTTCCTTTGCCCCCAAGTGCAAAGAGGAGGGTAGTCGTGGCCCTTTACCTTTGGCTGGGTAACATGCCCACCTCAGCCTGAGGTGCAGACGTGCTGGAGACATGGCTGGAGAACCGCCTTCTTCCGATGGCTCTCAGGAGGTAAGCTTCCTGTTCACTTACCACACTGGGCATGCTTACTGAGTCATCTGAAAAGTGGCAGAGAATGGAGCATTACAAAACTGGAGTATGGGTCAGAAAGTAACAATAAAAGCAGTACCTGGTTCTTTGGCTTGAGTACACAATTTCAATGTCATCTGTAAAGCAAAATGATCATCGGTCCCTTTATATAGATGAAAAAATTAAGACCCTGAAATGGATCAATGATAATACTTTATTCCTATACAGCTCCCACCTTCCTACACTACAATATTGGCAGGCACCTGTAAATAGAAGATTTCAGAAAAAACATAATATACATTTGAAAGATATGCTTACAATAGTTCAATAAGGAGTTTGTTATTGAATGAGTCAAGTATATTTCCCTGACATTCAAAACCTGTGTTTAGTACATTTAATTATTTCTGGCCAGCTGTAGGAAAGACTATTTCAGATTTTTTTTAAGGAAAAATTTATAAAATTCAGAAATAAGTACTTAAGATTTAAATATGTATTTTTCCATAGAACCAGAATTAATGTATTCAAATCCATATGAAAATTAGCTTTAGCAAGGTATTTATGAGTGACCTCATTTTAAGTGAGATAGTGTCATTTGTTGCTGATCACTAAATACACTTCAATAAACACACTGGATTTTGGTGAATCATGTTACCATTTAAAAATTCCCCAAGTGTATATTTGTAATTGAACTTATCTTTTAAATATGAAAATACTAGACATTTAAATTTTAATCATGATAGATTTAAAATAGATTCTTACCATAGTATGGCATTTTCTTTTTAGGTATGTCTGCAGAGAAGTTGAAAAATATAGTAGGATAAACGGAGCTGTTTCTACCAGGACTCCTACTTCTCATCAGTTTTTTTCTTTTTATCTGAATTCATGCCACTTAACACTCTCCAATATTGGTTTGGTGATTAGTCGTGGGCTGTTTTCTACTAAACTCTTCGTTAAGTGTTCTATATTGTGCATATACGCATCTTCTCTACAAGAATGCATCTAATGTCTTTCTCTTCCTTCGAACTGTTAGAGGTCAATACAGATTCAAGTTTCCCTATCACCCCCCCCCACCATCTAATTAGTACATACCCAGATCACAACCACATTACATATAACATTTATTAGCAACCTAGTTTTCAGATGCATGCTTCCTCCACTAGTCTCTGCTATCAGTGCTATCTCATAGCCAGTGTTATCGATTTATGCTTTTTCTACTTTTCTTCACCAGTTCCTTCTTACTAACTAGATCATTTACATATTCATAAAGATTTAATTCTAGGAAAGATACATGGTATCATTTCTCAGCATTAAGAAAAATTTCTACTTCAAGAATTAAAGAAAAATGAATTTAACTAAAAGTTCTGAATTGTTTCTAGGAGTTACTATTTATCTTGTTTTCTTCATTGTATTTTCTTGGTCAAGACTTTTTCAATATTTCCCTGATTACAACTTTCTGTGTATTCCCACAAGCACAAACCAGGGAGATTTAGATACATGTTTGTCTACAAGTTGCTTACACTGCGATGATCACTTTATCTGACCTACTTGAAACTATTCCTGAAAATAGTATTGAAAAGTATTTTAACAAAGCTTTCATTTCTCTTCCTCTACTTTATACTCAACTATAGTGGGAACATACTTTATTCCTCTTCTTTCTCTTCTTCTCTTCCTCCTCCTTTTCCTTCTTGAAACAGGGTCTATGTAACCTGAACTGCCCTTGGACTGACCATCCTCCTGCCTCAGCTTCCCTGGTGCTGGGATTATAGACATGCACGATCACACCTGCTCCTTTCATTCATCTTAGTTAATTAAAATTCTGACCTCAAATCCCATTTCCTCTATTTGTTTAGCTCAGAAAGGGTCTTTTGTAGGAAGAGGCTCTGAGTAGAAATCTAGATTTGTTTTCATTCTTACGGCATTTGTCGTATCAAAGTATCTTAAGACAACAGTGGAAAATGATCAGTGCTGTTTGAGCAGCCTTTGAAATGACAGTGGCACAAATGGAAACTATTCTACTTTTATTTTTTAAACTAACTCATATTAAACATTCCAAGTAAGTATTTTTTGATCATATTTATTTTCATTTCCTAGCACTACATCTCTACCACATGCATTAGAAGTCCTTGGGCTGACCTCTTCTGGTTTTCTCTTAACTTTGATTTGGGTTGTTTTTCTTCAAGAAAGCCTGCTGATTTGATCTCGGCTGGCATGACCAACATATGTTTAGGAACATATGTTTTCCCACATTTCCTTACTCAAACTGACAGTAGAAATGCTGGTCAATCCTCCAAGCAATATATCCCAAAAGGGAGGGGTAAGTTATTTATTCACAGTTTAAATGAGAATTGAATATATAAGCCCCCAAATAATTTAAGGGTCACTGAAGATTTGCTTTTTGCCTGAATTCTTCCCAAACAACTAAAGCTTTCAAGGAATGTATAGAAGCACAGGCATTTTAATCCAAGTGTATTAACTGAAATATGATAGATTCAGAGGAGAACTCAAATCAGTGTCATTTCTTAGAAAGGCTCAGAAACCAACTAAATGAACATCAGGAAACAGGTCCTCAAAAGGGGTGGGGGAATAAGGGTAGTGGGTAGACGGATGAAGAGAAGACGGGGAGGAAATGCAGTTATAAAATTCAATGTATTCTACAAAATTAAGAAAAGGGAAGGGGGGATTGGGAGGAGTTGGGGAGAACGATGAAAAAGATAACAATGATCAAGTTTCATTATATTCTTATACTACTTTGTTGAGTGGCAACTCCTCTGTACAACTACTTAAAGATAAAATTTTTTAAAATTGTAGAACTGGTCACAATTCCATTTTGCATCCTTCTTGCAAAAATCCCTAAGGGGATTAGAACTGGAAATGGTTAGGAGGGCAGAACTCTTCTCCAAGTCCTCAAGCTCATGGCCAAGTTGTTTTGCCTGCCTGGATTGTATGAGTAACCTACTTTCCTCCTCCTCCTCATCAGTCCGACTCAGGGTATCCTGCGAAGCCTGCTGAGATGGTTCACTGTCCTGCTCCCAGACAGTGCCTGTGCCGGTGTTGGAGCGGGACATGGTGGCAAGGCTCAGGCGGTAAGCAGAGGTGGAGGTTCCCACAGTGCTGATAGATGTCTTCCCTTGATAGGCTGTGGGGTATGAGAGACCAAAGGAAATGCAAGATGAGGCATTGCAGGGGGAGAGGGATGTTGTTTTACTGCTCTTGACCACTTTCTTTTTTTTTTTTTTAAAGGAAAGGTCAATGTGTTCCAGATGAATGATCTTTAAGACATCTTTAAGATGATCTTTAAGGCCACTGGTTTATAACTGAACATTTTCCTGAAAGAAGATGACATCCCTAGCAATGTAAAACACTTTGACGTTGGCTCTTCTCTTGTTGTTGATCTATTTCACTTTCCAAGGCTAATAGGATGGAAATTAAAATGTTGAATTAATTCTGAATTCCTTTTCCACATTGTCAGTGTTTACTGAGACATATTTAGGACTCCATAGGCTTAAATAAATAGATGGGTATGATTTTATATGGACGTCATAGTCAAAGATCAAAACAGATTATCCACAGTTCTTATTCCTCTTTTCTAGAAACTGTGCTATACAAAACCCCCTCAGTCCTTCATCAAATTATTTCATTGATCCTCTATCAGATTAGGCAAAATATTTGAATGGTAATATACAAAAATAACTGAGATTACACCTGTTAAAATTTTCATCTGTAATATAGTGCAAACAGTAAAGGCTTCAGAAACAACACCAAAAATCTCCAACATATACTTTAATTATAGGTAATGACTGCCCTCTAACGGCAGATAAGGATTTATATTCTTTCCTCATCAGTCTGCTGTGGAAATAACTGTAAAAATGTAAACAGTGCACACTCAAAGATAATCACTTGAGTAGGATAAAGACCTTCTATCCTGTCAACTCTTCTTTCCATTCAAATCTGTGAAAAAGTTAGACATCAGTTAAATCATGCAGACCTACTTTGAAATCATCACATCATTGTCATTTTCTATGCATGTGAGTTACTCAACATTTACTCAAGTCTTGATTTCCTCACTTAAGTGCACCTTCAGTGATGCACCATACAGATACTTTTGTGGATGAACAGAAGTAACACTTGTGAAATGGGTAATCAGACAGTAAATGTGGGTCCTCTTTTTTTTTTAAATGAAAGCAAACAAGTTTTTTTTTTTCTTAACTGAACATTTAGGAAAGAGCTTATTTTACTGAAGTGAAACGGAAAAAAAAAGCTATCTAGGAGATAAATAAAAATAAACCCCTCTGATACCCTTTTGATTACTATTTTGTTACTCACAATTGTCACATAATCAAATCTAATGATATTTTAGGCCTGCTGATTCAGGCATGGCCCCCCCAAAGAGCAGTGACCTGAGCAGAGAATTCTTTGCACATCGTGAGATCCATTTCTCAAACAAATCCCAGAGACCCTGTGTGCACATACCTGATCCGCTGTGAACTGCTTCTTTTAGAATTTTTAGTTCACTATTGAACTCAGCAATGAGTGAGCTCTTACACAAAGGACGCGGTATGAAGCGCCGCTCCAGCTGGTCAGCAATGTGCTGCCGGGCAGAAAGTTCATCGTGATTCTCTGCTGGCTGGGCCAGAAGCTGGAAAGAAGGCAATATATTCTTAGGGACTCAACTTCCCTAGCTATAAATGGGCTAATTACCTACTCCATAGTTGAGAGGAGTAAGTGAAGTAATTCATATGGTAGCCTTAGAAGAGATTTTTATCTGGGAAGTACTTAATAACACGGTTTGGAACCACTGCTCCCAAGAAATTAGAGCATGAAGTGGCTGAGCACTGGAGGAAAAACAAGCAGTTAGCATTCCATATTTTTGTGTTGATTTAAAATTAGCTCTCTGTTATGGCACTGACACTAAGAGAAGGCTCTCCAGACCAGTCTATTGGGCCAATGCATACATACATACATATATATATATAGATATAGATATAGATAGATAGATAGATAGAGATATAGATTACATATAAGCACACACATTATGCATATATATATATATATATATATGGAGTGGGTGGTGAGCCAGGGGAGCTAAGTTTTATACACTCTAGTAACTGATGGTACTTGCAACATGAGCTTTTATCCTCTGGGTACATTTGGGCTGTTTTCTCATCCTGTGTAGTGCTCACTGGCCACAGCCCATCCCAGCGGCATTCCTGCCCCAGCCCTGTCATAGTGGAGAGCACAGTGTTCGTGGGGCTGTGACTGTGGAGGGAGGGGCACACACCACACCTTGCATTGGATGAAAGGACGCAAGAGCACGAAGATGGGTATCCGGGTGCGCACGATGAAGTCGAGGAAGTCCCACAGGGCCAGGCCGCCCACCTTCCGCAGGGCCATCTCCTTCACCTGCAGGCTCAACCAGTACCACTGGCTTCCCAGCTGCCTCTCAAAGCAGACGAGAATCACCTTCAGTGCTTCACACCCGGAGGAGAGAAAAGACAGCCTGAGGACTGTGCCTACCATAGCCACTGTCCATAGCTACAACACCAAGGAATCTTCGCAACTTCTAAACTCTATGTTTCCAAAATCTTAGCACGTACTCTTGAGCAAGGCATCAAGGCAAAATGTTGGTATAATTAGTATAGTAAATGTTTTGCCCGCAATTGTTTCTCACAAGTGCACTGAACACTTGGAAAACAAAGCAGAGCCGTCCATCGGATTGAAAGAAAAATAAAAACATGATGTGTGACTGAAGTTTGACTATGCTTATGGCAACGTGATCATACTATACACATCTTCAGCTCAATGCTTTAAAATATTTTCCTGCTCTTTTAAGCATACTCACATTCCTAAAAAACTAAAAATCAAATGAATGCTGAACTACATAGTTAAAATTTAAATCTTTCTCTTCTGCTCCATTCCCTATTCCATCTTAAACTGATCCATTTGGAATTCACCAGCAAATGGAATTATGTACTTCTATATAATTCCCGATGACTAATCCTGTTGGGGTTCTCTTCTAAGATCTCCTACATTCTAGCAGCCCTTTGCATTTCCAGGAAACAGACTACCCAAACAATGTATCAGAGTGACACAACCATGACAAGGATCATGACCAAGCCTCCTCTGCCATCCTAGACTCCCAATATGGTATGCCTCTGGGTAGCCAAGGGACCCACCTGAGTATCAGCAATCCCACTCTGTAAAAGCCACATAGAGTTTCAAGGTGCTAAGGTCCTCAAGGACATTTCAGGGGGAAAACGATGCCTTATAACACAGGAGGAGATCATAGAACTCTGACACATCTCCTGCCTCAACATCCCACTCTTTACTTCTCTCACTTCCTGTCCTTAGCCACACAAGTAACAAAATGAATGGAAATGACTATTTTTCCCTAGCCTGCTCCTAACAATATTCCTACTGCTATTTCATGCCTATCGGTTTCTGTTTTTCTGCCTTCCCCTATCAGTTCAACACACAAGCTGTTTGACTAGATTCTGGTGGCTTGAATTTAAATCTGGCTCTTTTCATGTATTAATTGTGCATTGAGATGCAAATTAGCCAACCTGTTGAGACTTTATTCTCTTCACTCCTAAAGTAAGAATAAGAAATTTTTTAGAATTGATGTGGAATGTGAAATCTTACTGAGATGAATATACAAAACACTATTTAGGACATGTAAGATGCTGAAAAAGAAGTGCAAAAATAAAACACATACATTTGTTCAGTCGCCTGGATAAATAGGCCAAGTTTTTGTTTTTTTTTAAAAAACAACTTCATTAAAAAGGCAGGAAGTAGAGAGGATTGAAAAACATTTACTCCACACCTACCTTTTCATATCCTTATTTTACATGGCAAGTCCCTGTGTAGTTGGTTTTTCCCCAGTGTGGCAAGCACCTGACAGAAAATAACTCGAAGGGAGGGGAGATTTATTTTGGCCTAGGGTTCCAGAGTTTTCAGTCCCTTGTAGCATAGCAAAGCAGAGCAGCGGACATCATGGTGGTCAGGGAACAGAGACTGAGGAGAATGTCTATGTTAGCTGGCTTATTCCTCTATTCCCTTTTTCTCTACTGGAGCCCTCACGCTATTGGACAGTTCTGCCCACATTTAGGGAGGATCTTTCCCTGCTTAGTTAGTCTTCTGTGGAGACCCCCTCACAGAAACATTCAAAAGTATGCTTTATGAATCTCCTAAGCATCTTTTAACTCAGTCAAGTTGAGAGTCAAGTTCACCACAGAGCCCCTTTTCTCCATCATCCTGTGGGTAATCCCTAATTGCATGTACTGCTCTATTTCAAAGTCTGGGTTTTATTTAAACCTGATCTTTCCATGCCTTGCATGGGCGCATTTTTCCTTTCTCCTTTTTTTCCCCTTTTTCCTTTTTTTATTCTTGTTGTCCATGACATCATTTCAAACATACCCTTTCACAGTGACATCCAGATACCCTCACACTCCAACCTCCAAGGCCCATTTTATTCATTATGTTTGTCTGCTTCACCTTCCCAACCTCTGCTTGGGTGAACTGGAGAGAGTCATCAAGCAAGAGGTTCTCCACTCTCTCCTTTTTATTTATTTTTTCACTCTCTCCTTTTGCAGTTTCCTAGCGTCAGTGTTTCTTATTCTCAGTGCTACAGCAAGACAGTGCTTTTCCTCCTGGCCTAGATCATTCAGGGGCACAGAGTGGCTTTCAAGTATTCCATGGGAGAACATCAATCTAAAGGTAACCATAGGATATGTGAGAGTAACAGAGGAAGGGAAAAGGGAATTGAAAAGCCTTTGGGGAGAGGCAAGGCCAGCATGTCAAACTGCTCAGGATGTAGACTGACCAGGGACTCCATTCACATAACAGCCCAGTGAACCCCATGAGTGTCCTTGTACACTAGACTAAGCCTAGAGCCACAAAATCTAACTTGTGATCTTATACTCAATAAGAAGTAGTGCTTATTGAAGATGCCTTCTGTATATGCCCCCAGAAATCTTATCAAAACAACCAGGTAATTTAGATACTGCACATGTGGAAGTATGAGAGAGGAAGGGAGGGAAGGAGGGTTAAGGTGGGAACATACCCAAGTATGCTGCTTGGCTGGTGGACTCTGCCAGCCCTTCCCTGCGCAAGTCTTTCCCTGCATCTCCAGGGGTGGAGCAGTGGGCAGGGGAGCTCTCCAACATGAAGTTCTTGCTCCTGGATGTACTGATGATCCGCGGTGGCAGGAGCACATTAATGACTGTCTGCAGCAGCAGCTGCACCTCCGGCTGCTCCAGCCATGGGCTATCTGAAGGGCAGTTTGGGAGGGGGAAAGGAGAAGAGTCACAGGCAGAGTTTTTACATTAGAAGCAAGAACAGCTCTTTCCCATTCCAAACTAGAACACTACAGAAATAGGGAGATTTCCCACCAAGGACAGTGTCTCTCTTGATCACACACAGCCTTCTTGGTACCTGGGGATTATCTATAGTTGGTACCACAAAACCTGTGCTCTTAGCCAGTTCTCCTGCTTACCATTTCAATCTCCTTCTTTTTGCAAATATTCATAATGCACTTTCCTTATATTTGAGATAAGCTTTTCCTAAAAGAAAGACCCCCCCTCCAGAAGGAAGAGTAATAAACACATATTGAAATTTAATGACAGTGGAAGTATTTCTGCTAAACTCAGTGGTATTACAGAGTCCATTCACCTGCCAATTTTCATCGTAATGTATTTCAACTCATCACCATTTTCTTAACTGAATTGAAACAATATACTAGGATGTATCTTCTATGTAGTAGAGCAGAGAAACTCTTGGTTTAGGGCAGCTAAACTGAAAAGGAAAGTGAAATTCTTATTTCCTAAAGTACCCCTATTACAACTATTTAGATAGGCTTCAAGTGATGGCCTTCCTGGGAAAAGGAAAAAGAAGTAACAGACCAATATTTAAGTAATCAAATCAACAGTGGTAAGTTTCCTTTAGTTAAATTAATCAGACCTTTGCTTCCAGATCCTACTGTGAGCACAAATGGGATGAGTAGATTTAAAAGCATCCCCTCCCTTCGCTCTTGATTGGTGAATGGGGAGATCACATGGCTTAAAGGGAAATCTTCTTTTAAAGCCTGCGCAGCAATAATAGAAAAAGAGATTAATGGACCACCACATGCATTGAGTATGTTTTTACATAACATGACGGAGACGGTGCCTCCCTGCTGGCTGCTCCTGTAGACTATAAGTGCAATTGTCTTCTGTGCAGCATCCAAGATTGGATCAAAACTGATACTTTACCACTGGCTTGACATAATTGAGAACTACATTCCTAAAAGACAGTAACATCTTGCATATTAAATGTGAAGTTATAATCCTTAGGGTCACATACAAACACACCTTATTTTCTCTATTAGTTTTCTCTGTGTGTCCACCAAGAAATAAAGGAAAAGAGGAAAATGAGAACTTTCCACTTGCTCCATTTGGGAGTTAAAGTCCTCAGACACCTGCCTAGGCCTTCTTTAAGCCAGGAAGCAATAAACAATAGAGAAAGAGACAAATAATCTTTGGAAGCAGGTTACTAAAATGCGTCACTTTGGGGATGTCATTGTTTCTCTTCTATACAAAGAAAGTCAGAGAATGGATGTTAGAAATGGGTAGATCAGTTACCTCTTCTACATCAGTTGTAACCTTTCTATAGATCACAGAGCTTTAAAATTGGATACCAGAGATAAATAGGCAGGTTCTGTACTTGACCTTGGGAGGACTATTTTATTTTTAAGGAGGACAATTTTCTTTAAAACACATCAACAATATGTAGCCCACAATCATTAAGAAAATTAAGATATTCAAAGTCTAGTAATAATACTTGAAAGAATCTTATATTGTAATTCTTTCCAAAATAATTTAAAACCAGGCTTTGAATACTACTGCCTCTTTTAATTAACAATTGTGAGCCATTTATCCCTAGACCCTTGTTTTAAATGACTGAAATGATTCTTGAGGTTGTGGCAAGACAAGATGACTCTGCTATTTTTGAGATCTCAAGAAGAATTACAGAAGCACAACTTAGGGCCATGCTCAGGACGGAAGCTCCAAATCTATGAAAAGTTTGGAGGTGTTCCCACTCTGGTTTCACAGATTTTGCCCAGCCTTTGCAGAAAGAGATAAAAGAACACCGTGATCCGGTGCCTCAACCAGCAACTTAATGAGCGTGACAAACAGGTAAGGCAGTCACACCTGTATCTGCAATGCTACAAGCCGGACAACAGCTGTGCTGAAGGGCAGAGGTGGTGAGAGATAAGGGCTGAGATGAAGAAGGGGTAATCCATCAGCAACACTGGAAGGTCCTACCACTCCCATCACCTGAAATACAAACAGAGTACATGACCAGCCTTGACCACTGCAATTTCATGCAACCATAGTACAGGAGTTTCACTCAATAGTAATTAGCATCATCATCATCAGAATAAATAATCATCATAAATTGAAGGTTGGGCATGTTATTTTTCAGTGTTTTCTCTCTTGCAGCCTTCTTTTTAAGGCCTGTAATGTCTGGAGTCAGATCAGTCATGACATTAGATTCAGCCAAGGTTTTGTAGAATGCTGTTTATAGCTAACTATGTAAATAATGAGAGATGAACTAAAAATAAAAAAAAGCTCTTCTAATCAGGAGATTGGACACTTACTCGTGGACTGGAAGGAGGGCAGCAACATTCTTTGATGGAGCAAAATACTGACAACAATGATGATGGCAACAGCACTATTTGCACTAGACATTCCGGCTACAGCTTCATTGCCTA